ACTGGGACCAAACCCTGACTGGGAACAAACCCTCCCAGAGGAGCTCAGGGGGGTTGATGTGTTCCCTGTGTCTCCCAGTCCCACAAACCCCACAGCTGGTGGGTGATGCACACAAGCGTTGCTCTTCCCTGGGTGCTCTTTGTTCCTTTGGAAGCTGTCACTAGGGGTGTCAGCCAAGGCTCCCAGCACCCTTCCCTGGGCATGGAAAAGCTGTCTTCTCCCAGGTGGATCCCCCATGCCTCACCAGACTTTTGGGGGATAGATTGAACTTGGTAGCCCCCTTCCTTGTCTGGGAGATGCTGCCTGTCTGCTGTGCAGGTGGATGATGCCTACTCACTGTTCCCAAGGGCCCCCTTCCAGCCAGGTGTGCCCACCTGAGTGCTGTGACTGGAGGAGGGGCACCCAGCTCCCATTTCCACTGTCTGCCTTTCCCCCACAGGTCCCTGCTTCTTTCTGTCCTGCCCTATTGGAATTGAGGATTTCCGGACCTGGTTCATCGACCTGTGGAACAATTCCATCATCCCTTACCTGCAGGAGGGGGCAAAAGATGGGCTCAAGGTAGCCGGTGCTGCTGGCACATGAGAACACAAACTAGGGCGGGGACACAGTGATACAGCCATCGTGGGTGGGGGCAGAGGGGAGGCACTGGGATGGTGGGTGTAAATCTCTGCCAGTCCCTGTACCCTGTGGCTGCTGTGGCACATGGCGCTCTCCTGGGGGCTCAGGGTGCCACATTGCTGGCTCTGGCATGTACTGAGGCATGGCTGCCATTTGATCCCTGCCGCAGGTGCATGGGCAGAAGGCAGCCTGGGAGGACCCCGTGGAGTGGGTGCGGGACACCCTGCCCTGGCCGTCAGCGCAGCAGGACCAGTCCAAGCTGTACCACCTGCCCCCGCCCACCATGGGGCCCCAGAGCGCCGTGTCCCCGCCCGAGGAGCGCACCGTGAAGGACACCACGCCCAGCTCCCTGGACTCGGACCCGCTGGTAGGCTGGCCAGCAAGAGGGGCTGGGAGGAGCTGGTGGCAGAGCAGGGCGGAGCTTTGCTTTCCCAGTTGATTCTCGGTGTAAAACGCCTGATTTGGGGATGCAGAAACACTGCGTGCTCCCTGGAGGAGCAGTGGGTGAGGGGTGGTGGCACTGGCAGGTGGGCTGCACACCAGGACACATGGTGACATGCCAGTGAAAGGGCAGACATGACACTCCACGAGGCATCATGTCCACATGCAGAGCCACAGACAGGCACACGTGCTCCTACACGTCCTGATGTGTCACCTGGAGAGCTGCTGGCTCCAGATGATGCCAGCTGTCACCTGGAGAGGCTGCTGGCTCCACAGGTGATGCCAGCTGATGCTGCTTTGGCACACTGAGTCTTGAGCATTCCAGCTGTGCCTGAGGCTGGATTCTGGCACAAAGGAGGGATTTTGCAGCATCTCTGGGACTTGCTTTACCCTCTAAGGAGCTTTCCAGCAAGGCTGGTTTGGGAGGGCAAGAGGGCCAAGTGGCCTCCCCAGTCACCTGTGCACCTGTGGGCCTCGTGTCCCCCTCGGGCTCCTGCCATGCTCCTGTCCCCACAGATGGCCATGCTGCTGAAGCTCCAGGAAGCTGCCAACTACATTGAGTCTCCAGACCGTGAGACCATGGTGGACCCCGACCTGCAGTCGACTCTGTGAGGCCCAGATGTGCCAGCCCAGGTGGAGGGGAGCTGCTGCTGGGCTGCTCTCCTTTTCCTTCGGCATCCAGGAGCGTGGGGCTGGCGAGCAAGTGGAGAGGAGAGGAGCAGGGCTCTGGCGTGTCCTGGTGGAGCCTGGGGAAACTCAGCTCATCTGTGAAAGAGCACGAGTTACCATCTCCCCTCCCAGCCCTGGGGGTAGGAGAATCCTGGTTTCTCTTCTTGGTTTTTTCTGTCTCTATTGCAAACTCTTGGGCTTTGGGACCAAGGTGCCGCTGAGGCTGAGCCCCGCTCCCGGGAGCTGCTGGAAGGCCCCTGCGAGGGGCAGGGACCCTGCAGGAGCCACCTGGGCCACAGCTGGGGAGGAGCTGGGGCTGCAGGATGAGCACGTGGGCACGAGGGGCTCTGGCTCCCTCTGTGCCCACTGGGCCAGTCCATTGGAGCCTCCACTGTGGAGCTCCCACCCCGTGCCAGCCAAAGGGAGCACGGCCCTGGCTGCTCTCTGTGCATTCCCTGTTCCACCTGCAGCTGCTGTGACCAGGACAGCCCAAAAACCCTGCTTTTCTTATTTTATTTTGTTTCCCCCTTCCCCTTTTCCTTTGGCCGAGTCCAGACTTTGCTTTGATCCCTTTTTTAGTTCAGGTACTTTGCTCTCCTGGCCTGGAGCCTGTGGCCTGGTGCCTACTACTTCCCTGGCAGCAGTGTCCTTCCCCTTTGGTTTCTTTTGCAGCTGTTGGTTTCACCACTCAAACCACCTCTGTCACAAAACTGGTGCTTACTGGACGATCTCCAGTCCCTGAATCCACCTCCTGGGGCTGCACAGGTTGGCTGAGGTGGGACTTGGAGGCAGTGTGGAGGCAGGTGGCAGCAGGAGGCTCCCAGAGCAGCCCCTCACATGGCAACTCCCTCCTTCCCCAAGGCACTGGGATGGTGTCTCCCACCAGGCTGGGGTGCCACAGAGCATCCCCTCCCTGAGCTGCTGGGGCATGGGGAGGCTGCTGCTGCTGCCCCATCCCTGAGGAGCTGGATGCCATCCCTGCCCCCTTGGTGGAGGGGGGCCCAACCAACCTCTCATCCCCTTGGTGCTGCCAGGCCTGGGGCTGTGGGTCAATGAGCCTGGGGTTGCTCCCCAGGCTGCCTGCTCCCCCTGGCCCTGTGCCTTCCTGTAGCCTGGCAGGGTCTGTGTTGGTGCTCTGGGGGCACCTGGGGCTGCCATGTGTCCTCCTGGCCTTGTCCTGCATTGTCAAAAGGCCAGACTCCGTGGAGAGGGTCGGCCCCGGTGCTGCCGTGGTGCCTTAATCTCTGGCCATGCGGGAAGGGGGAAAGGGGGCTTGGGACAGTGCTGTCACAGCCTGCTCCAGCATCCTCTGTCCCCAAAGCCAGCTTGGCTGGAAGGAATGAAGGTGCTGGGACTGCTGCCTGCAGCACCCTCGCTGGCCTGTCCCCAGCCATGGCTGTGGGGTGTCCTGCAGGTCTGCACTCCCATCCTGTGCCCCCTTGGGCTCTGGGGGCCCTCTCCTCCCTGCTGCCCTCCAGCTCAGCCCCCACATCCTTCTGGGGCCCTGGAGAGACACATGAGGAGAGGTGACCCCAGGGCCAGATCACCTGCGCCCACCCTGTCCCCAAACTCTG